GATTATAAAAAATAGCTGTTTGTCATATAATATTCTCATAGTGGTAGTGGTACATGTCAATTGGATCCATACAGGATGGAATAAGACGATCCCGCCCCCATGAGCCTCCAACTATGGGTAAAATAGTGTGATGATTGCACGGCATTAGTGGGTGGAAGTCTTCCTGGAAGAGGTGAAGGGCTACGGCAGAATGGTTCCAAGATGATCTCAAAGACCATGTGCTCAGAGCAATTGTGTGCCACATTATATCAGTGGATTTTGGATGTTGTCATCGAGTCTGGAGAGGAATGGGGTCCGCCAAGCGGTGTCTTGCCCTTGACACACCACACGAAGACAACTATTAATTATTCTATACCGGCTCGGTAGCACCTTGGTCAACAATAGCCGCGCATTACTCTGCACACCAATATAGAGTTGACATGTATGCTACTGGTGACACCACTACAAAGATAGAAAACGTACAAAAATATGCCAAAACTACTGAACCACCAGTTTGGTCAGTCACCCGGGCAATGTCATGCTAATGATAATTTTCAACAGATTAAAGCCTAAAGCAGATAAAATTATTGCTGAAAAGCAAGCAGGCTTCCGAGCAGGAAGGAGCACGATAGAACAAATCTTCGATCTCAGACTCTTTTGCGAGAAATATCTTCATCATCAGTAGAATCTATACCACGTCTTTATAGATTTCAAGACTTCATTTGATACGGTATGGTATGCTGCCTTATGGGCAACTTTGAGAAAGTACAACATCAGCTCAAACCTGGTGTAGGTTGTTGAGCACCTCTATGACAAAACCACCAGTGCAAACTTAAGTGGTACGGTCATGTCTCAAAATCATCTGGACTGGCAAATCAGTCTAGCAAGACTCAGTGCGAGTGTCCAGAAGAAGAGGCAGACAGAAAAAGAAGTGGGACGAAAACATTAAGTCATGGGATTTGGAGATTCTCAAGGAGCAATAGAGAACAGGGAAAGATGGAAAGAATTTGATGTCAACTGTGGTGCCCAAACGACCTATTGGGTTAAAGGATTGATGATGATGATGATGATGATGATGATGATGATGATGATGATGATGATGATGATGTTCGACTGGAATAACTAGTACTTGTTAAAAGATTTACTTCATTTCACTTATCAGCCAAAACTAAACCTCAAATGAAAATAAACCATGTAAATTGATCAAAAATATATGTATGTGATATGAGAATATATATTTATATAAAATATATATTCTCATATAACATATATGAAACTATTATATGTATTTCTGGCTCATTTGGCATTGAAAAGTTATTTATATTTTTATGATGTTTTGTTTTTCCCCATTTTCCAAATTGGATGTTCCTAATGTTCTTTATGTTCGTACATACGAGTTAAAATTAAGCACGCAGAGAACGAAACTCTTTGGAAGATATTGGTGCCAAAGTGAAATGACAACAACATCATTAGCATGAGAATAGATTTAAATAAATGTAAAATTACGAATATGTGAAAGAGTAAAAACATTGCAATTATATTTGTTAGTACCTGAATTGTTGAAATGATAAACAAACGCAATGCGTTTTGGGCACTGCATTGCTCTTCGTAGGTAGTTATGAAATTTTCGATCAAGCTTACAAGATATTTATATTATAATTGAGTACTGATGATGTTTCCAGCGAATTTGATTTCAGTTTGAGCACTTAATATTTAAAAAGCATTCATTCTGATTCATTCATTTGGGAAATTGGGACGCGGTTGTACAATCACAATGTGACATTCTTTAATTCCCATTTAATTAAATTAAGTTCGATATCAACACACGTTAATGTCTTATAAATGATCAAGCCATTCCTTATTTCGTGATATGTAATGTTACGACTCTTTGCTCTTAAACTATGTAACAGAAAGATGCAAAACCAGCACTTTTAGTGAAAAAAAAAAAAACAAATTTATTTCCTTAGAATACAAAGTGAGAATCTCAAAAGTCATTTAAAGTAGTGACTGTACTAGCAGCTTCGTTACCTAACACCTCGGAGTCCTTTTGTATACCATGCACTGAAATAATTCTTGTCAAAAGAACCTTACAACTTTCCTTATCACGTCATTGTCTCAATTCACTAGTTATTTTTGTATACAATAGGTACAAAAAAGCATTTTTCCCGCAAGATTGAAATGAAAACATATCCTAGACAACCAACTGCATGACTTTAGATCTCTAAATATTGAGTAAGTAATTAGTAATCAATTTAGGCATAATTGCCTATGTCCCTCTTATTAAGGGTTTGGAAATATGAGCTACGTGCCATTCACGGTCAAGTCTAGTCACCCGAGGAATATATTATTATTTTAGGAATTACTCAACTCTGCTGTAATATATTATGATATTAGGAATAAATTCTATTTTTAGGAAGCATGCTTCGGTTTTGTAATATATTATGATTCTAGGAATTACTCAATTCTGTTGTAATATATTATGATATTAGGAATAACTCAATTCTGTTGTAATATTTGATGATATTAGGAAGCACTCAACGCTGTTGTAATATGTCATGTTATTAGGAAGATTTTGTTATTGGTATGGGGCTTCAGGCCATTTTCAGCACACGATAGGCTGTACATGGCGGCCAGTATTAATAATAGAGGATGAAACCGGGATATCACCGGAAAGAACCACCTACCAACGAGAAGCTACTGGCATGCTTTCTCACATATCCACATTCGCCGAATCTTAGACTCGAACCCACGCAGACAGAGGTGGGATGGCAGTGATCTATAACGAGCAGCGCTTTAGGCCACTCAGGGCCTAGATATTAGGATATTAGGAATAACTATTGTAATATATTATGATGTTAGGAAGAACTCAACTCTGATGTAATATATTATGATATTAGAAAGAACTCAACTCTTTTGTAATATATTATGATATTAAGAAGCACTCAACGCTGTTGTAATATATCATATTATTAGGAAGAACTCAAAGCTGTTGTAATATATTATGATAACACTGTTGTAATATATTATGATATTAAGAAGCACTCAACGCTGTTGTAATATATTATTAGAGTAGTAAGTACTCAACACTGTTGTATAAATAGCGCTCATTGCTAATTCTACTCCTTTGAATTTGACTAGAGTTTTCTTTATAAAGTTATCAGTTCACCCGATCTAAAAGTGACATCACTCTTTTCAAGTATAATGATTTGATACTTATTATGTCGCTTGCAAATTATTACTATGGCAGTACAAATAGCAAATATCTCATCCGCATGCCGTTGTTCAGGTAAAAGTTCAAATATATTTCCTTGAAAATCTACAGAGTAATTACTTCACATTTATTCTCTTTTAGGTCTTAGAGGGAAACACCATGACCTTTAAATTGCTTCTCGGCCTGCTGCTGCTTATTCAAACATGTTGTTTTCAAATTCAAAATGAGATTACCGGCAGAGAGAATACTGCAGAAGATGACCAGCCTTTCCCACTGCACGAGAATCTTCGACGTGAACACAAGGTGGACATGTATTCGGCTGGTAACACCAGATGTAAGCCTGACCACCAATGTGGATATTATGGCTATAGTTACAGCTGGTGCAACACAGAAGACAAATCGTGGGATTATTGCTGCACTGGAGAATGTAACAAAACGGATTATTCTTTTAAAGTGTCCGTCTGGAAATTTCATATATACGTTTTGTGGCAAACATAGTTGGAAAACAATCACTGGAAAAGAATGCCTTTCTTCACATCCTTGTGGCACCCACGGAGTAATCTTCAATCTAGTCGAATCATATTGGTGCTATACTGATAATAAGAAAAGTTGGGGATACTGTTGTAACCCGAACAGCGAATGCTCTTTTCAAGGCAATAGTTACGGATGTTACACTGGCGTTAAATTGGGTACTTTTTGGAAAACGTGCTCGTCTTAAAATATGATACTCAGGGAGCAAAGATCTGTGAAGCTGAATATTATTTGTACACTTGAATAATAGAAGTTTAGTCGGACAATGAAGTGTTATAACTTTTGTATGTTACCTGAACGCGTGATAAGTAGGACAGAAAACTCAGTACAACCCTAATTAAATTTCGATACTGTGCAATACGTCTTATATCTTGCAGCTACATGTTCTATGTGTTACAGTCTACTGAAAGTATGAACATGCCTGTATATGTATCAGTCGGTGAATCATAAAAATCACGTGTCTATCACGTGTTTTTGTCGTGAAACCTAATGAGTAGTAAATAATTCTCTTATGTATTTGCTTGTAAAAATGTTGTCTACAGTATCTGCTGTTTTCGCATATGTCTGTGTGTTTTGTGTATGTGTTTGTATGTGTGTGTATGTTTGTAAGTTTATTAGTCCGAGATTTTTGGGATCAATTATTTTTCAATGATATGCACATGCACATATTAATATAACACGCTCGCACGACTCTAAGCTGTACTCGGTTATGCAACATGCATATATGGAATGCTGCTTTAATTGCATTAAGCCTGCCACCGGTCTTTCTAAATTACCAATTTCGAATATTATCACGCCTTTGTTATTTAAACGACCGGGAGTGTTCACCTGGCTCAAGCTAGAAAGCGAGTTATAATTGAGCTAACTTTCTTTGACTCAAGACAGCTCCTCAACGCTATAATCATTTCATAGCGCGCGCGCGCGTGTGTGTGTGTTATGAATTTTAACGCTGCTTTAAAAACAGGGTATACATCAAGTTGGATTTTTACGTAAACGGATTTACTTTGCCTGTATCGATAAACTGATGTGTGATGAGATGTGTTGCGATTTTGATTTTTAACATAGTTTTAAAAATTTGTCATGCATATTCCTACGATGTCTGCAGTGTGGCAGTTTATAGTGATGTCTAACACTGTGGCATCATGCTACAGACATGTAGGATGATGTCCCACGCAGTCACATTATCCTAACACCAGGCAGACCAGTTCTAACACTAACCTCATAACGCTGAGCGTCAAGCAAGGCAGCTGTTAGTACCATATTTGTAAGTCTTTGGTATAACTCGGCCGGGGATCTAACCCACGACCTACCGCATCCGAGGCAGACGCTCTAACTACTAGGCCACTGGAGCGGTGATAAACTGATGAATAGGCTAGTTAATTCTGGCACCGGTATAGTAACCTCCATTAATTCAAGAAAACGTCTAACATTTATCATTCATAGATTTTTTGTTTCAAAATCAGATAAAGATTATTTATTATACGAATATTTTGAGCAGGTACTCGCAAAACTTAAAGTATTCATGCAGTTGTAAAAAAAGCAATGTCAATTTCGTAACATGTTCTAAATCCTCGTGTAGATTTTAATTTATAATACATGCGTCTTGCTCTGAGTATTCTAATCGTGGAAGAAAACGTAAACTCACTTTTTTATTTGTATCAGTAAAGGTATAATTGAAAAGGAATCCTCTGCAAGAAAAAATATTGTACAATAGTTCTGCCATTCAGTTGGCACACTGGTTATGAGTCATGGTGGTATCTCAGTTATCATAATGTAATATATCTAAAATGTGGTCATAGCTTTTATTATTATTATTATTATTATTATTATTATTATTATTATTATTATTATTATTATTATTATTATTATTATTATTATTATTATGCAGGCACTTTCTAGGTACATATGAGCTAATGTTGCACTTGACATTTTTAGCGTGTATCCCGACGAAGAATGCATTGGTTACAAGAAAAAAAAAAAACCGTTGCCTTGGGACAATTATAGATACTTTTAACAAATTGTCTGCCTTAAAAATAATTTTGTGTTGCATGTCTTCTTTGAACTGGGATACAGATGTAAACAAGCGTGCTTTGTTCCAAACAAAACACTGACGATATATACATTTGATGTAATGGAATTTCTAGATCAATATAGTATGTATTTGTCTTTCTAAAAAACCTAGTGTAGAAATGGATAAACAAACATACATCTTCTACGTAAATGCATGGAAATCTAAATAAATGGATGATGTATATCTCTGCAGATTTTTTTTTAATGAAATTATCTGTTGGCGATATTCCTCCACTCCTAGAGTTTCGGAAGTAGAATATGCTTTATATTTGTATTCTACAATTATTGTAACTGCGATTTCGAACCTTTATCAGATTGACTGAAAAATTGTTTGCAATGTATGAAACCATTGCTAAATATAGTGAAATGTAACTCAATACATAATTTTAACCGTTTGAAGAGTGTTTGTCTACGTGTGTGTGAGTGTGATTTAGAGTTTAAGCGTAGCTTTAACAATTTCTCGGTTATATCCCTACGATGTCCGCCGAGTGCCAGATTATTGTGATGTTTAGCACTGGGTCATCATGCGGCAGATAAATTCATTGTTGTTAGATACATAATATAAAGAAAGGCTCCAAGGTATTTATTCTTGATCGTTTTAAATCAGATCGCTTTGGAGGAAAATTTCAAGATATATACTTTTTGTTGCTGTTAGTTATATTGCAGAGTTAAAGAAACAGCCATTGTGAACAACCAATGCTTTTCCTCATTCTGTAAAGATATTTGCTATGATTAACATATGCATGCCGTAAAGTTTTAATAATAGAAAATTACAAAACTAAATTGTGGAATTATAGTTTCTCATCTGAAAATAATTGGAATAATGTTGTAGCGATATCTTGGAGCTGACATGTATTTTCCTACTTTTTTCAAATCGCTTCATTGTGCATGCATAACGAGTACTGTGTAAATAATTTGTAAACCACGTGCGAGGTCTTGCCACATCCTTGCTACGCCTTTGTACACCGGTCAATAAAACCAGTGTTTACTAAATCGTGGTCATGGAATATATGTTTGTACACAAGTTACCAGGTACATTATAACTCTAATCCGGTCATATTGCGCTTTGTTATTCAATCCGTGGCGGGAAAATGTTTTTAAATACTAAAGTCCACGAAACAAGGATGACTTTTCAGTCCCAAGTGTCTGAAATATGAAAATGTTACTACATCACTTAACTACTCGTACCATTGTAGGTTCTCGCATTATGTTCTAAAATGATGGACATAAGACAAATCAATCAAGCAATCGTATTCAAGCTTCTCTAAAACTTGCACCCATCTGCAAAGAGCGTAGACCCTGATGAACTTGAATTCATTAAGGACATTTTAGTGATAGGATTTATCTTGTTAGATTCCAGGATTGATCTTTGGATTATATTCACACACTCTAAGTCCTTTTGCATATTTTTACTGTGTTTTCTAGGGAAATAAATTATTTTTTTAAAAAAAATTTGCAAAGCTTGTTGGCTTCACAATTTTCTTTGTTACTTTGAATGAGCCGAGATTCATTTCAAAGAAAAATTAGGTCCTCGTCCTTGGATATATGAACTTTTGTTAAAATATTTTAGAAAATTGCTTTTAAAAATTTAAATTCCCCATATTTTTAAATCCCAAGTACTAATTTACATTTCATTTTAAATCTGAAGTGAAAACAACGGACATTCATTCACAATGTTATCAAAAGTGGAGATTTTTCTTTTTAGTCCTACTCAAGAGCAGTTGGATGGTCTGAAAAAGATGAGTTGCTTGAACTTGACAGAAAGTACGATCTATTTGAGGCAAAAGATTACATAAAGAAGCAAGAAATTAAAAATATTTTGATAAAGGATTTATTTGACAAGAATGTTTTCGATGAAAATGTTTTGGCTTCTCTCAGTAAGTCTGTATCAGAGAGAGAGAGAGAGAGAGAGAGAGAGAGAGAGAGAGAGAGAGAGAGAGAGAGAGAGAGAGAGAGAGAGAGAGAGAGAGAGAGAGAGAGAGAGAGAGAGAGAGAGAGAGAGAGAGAGAGAGAGAATAATACATAAAATAAATTACAATTTAAAATAGGGGAGAGAGAGAGTGGTAGTAAGATAAACAAATGCAATTGGAGTTTCAAAAAGGACAAGTGCACGTACAAATGCAAAAAGAAAAGTATAAAAGGGAATTTCAAATTAAAATGAAAGAATTTGAGCTGGCAAGTGAAAAGCACGACCCCACTTTGCATATACGTTCAAGTTTTGACATCACAAAAATATCTGTTTAGTTCCACCTTTTAGAAAAAAGGAAACCGACGAATATTTATTGATTTCGGAAAAGATTCTGAAAATTTGACGTTTCCAATGGAACATTGGACTAAATTATTGTACTTTTAGCAAGGTCCTAAATATCTATTCATCCATGTCAGTACAACAGAATTCTAACTATTAATTGGTTAAGGAGTGCTTCTTAAGGGGTTATGCGTTAGTCCCTGAGGATATTGGGCAAATCTATTTAAAGGAATCCGGACAAACTACTGTCTAATTTAGAAGAGAAAAAGAGCAGTTATTTGAAAGATGATGCTTAGTCAAAAAAGTTGAACATGATTATGAAAGTTTCAAACAATATGTAGTACTTGTAGATTTCAAAAACTGTATCCATTATGACATTAAAACTCATCTTGAAGAGCATAAGATTGAAAGCTTGGAGAATGCTGCTATTCATGCTGATGAGTAACTCATACATTTCCTGTTGCAGGTAAATCATGAACTTAGCAATTTACTAGTAGAAAGGTATTTAAGCCAAAGTTCTATTACATACAAAACAATAAATCCTAACACATTCGTATCAATGAAATATTGTGTGACATTCTTACAATATTTGAATTGTAAAACATTCAAGACGAATGCACGATTAACATGCGAGCTCAAGAAAAAGTCAAGTGTAAATTTAAAACGAATAATTTTAAAAGCTAGTTATAAATTAACATCGATGAACATATTGTATGTGATTGAGACAATACTTTACGTTTTCTTGAAACTATCTCCTATTTTTATAATGGTGAATATCTCTCTGGTTCCTCAGATTTCTCGACTTTTGTGCCTTAGACTTGGTAATTTCCACGGGGTCTCTAAGACTGTTCTTCTGGCAGAGAAGGAAATCATTTAAAACCTCGAATTTCCACCCGGAAAACACCCACCCCGTCGTCTAATCGGAATTACCTTTCTCTAAAAGACACAATTTGTCACTCCCACCGATGTCAGAATGATTCTTTTTAGTCCGAATTTATTAAGAACTCTTCTGACAAATACCATTTTGTAAAATCTATTTCAAGTGGCCAAATATGTCCCAAAATTTGTTTATGGGAATGTCTCTCCATTGCCATTTCTTTCCCTGGACATTTTATTTAACATATCTGTCAGACAGTTCTCTGAGCGGGTTCTATTTAATACCCAATCACGCCTCCGACCAGAGCATAGATTAACCATCGCACGATACAAAGTTATTACGATCCTATCCTAGCCCATACATCATTCTTAATGGTTAAGCGTCACGCTGACCATGTTAAAATACACTGCAAAGATATATACATTGCATGTGCTACAGCCACTTTCATAACTATATCTGACACACAAAAGTCGTGAAATTTCTGCGGATAAAATAAAAACATTGATGAAACATGTCTTTGGCTTAAAATACAATGTCTCATTAGTGATTGCTTTCAGGATACCATATTGAAAAAACCTACCACATTATGCTAAAACATTCCTATCCTACAACAGCTTTTCATTACACACTGATCTGGTCCATGGAAACTCATCCAACATTATCGAAAACAAACTTGCAACGGACAGATTAAGTTCAATAACGTTCCTAAAGACTATTATGTTTCTTGTATCTGCAATTCCTTGTATAATATATCTTTCTTCCATCACTACAATCAAACAACTTAATGTTGACATAATCTGAATAATTACCTACACCTTTCTTCCCATTGACAAAGCTAACAGCCTTCACCAGGACAAGATAGGAAAAATAGAAGAACTCTTTCAAAACTCTACAATTAACTTTTGTAATGAAAATTACTTGCAATAATTAACTCCAATGAGCAACACAAGCTACATACATACATACATACATACATACATACATACATACATACATACATACATACATACATACATACATACATACATACATACATACATACATACATACATACATACATACATACATACATACATACATACATACATACATACATACATACATACATACATACATACATACATACATACATACATACATACATACATACATACAT